TATACTATACTTATTTGAAATACCATTAGTAAATCCTATAACCTTGATAATTATTTTATCTTGGTTTAATCCTTGCATCAATATCACATCTCAAGAATTATCTTTAATTCCTTTTTATTTATTGTTTATAATTTTATATAATTCACCTCCCTATGGTTCGACCCCGGTCTTGCTAGATTTTTTATTATTTTGACACTCTTGTACTTTGAAAAAGACATTAATCTTTTGGTCGTGTCACACTAGATATATATAGAATGAAAAAGTTTCAATCTCTTAAAATTCCTGTAACATAATTCAGGTAACCATATTTCACATGCATATCTTGTTGGGTTTCCAAAATAAATTCTTGCAGTAAAAACTATAAGTATAATATTTTAAAAAAAAATCTCAAGGATCTCGTTAGACGAATCTATATTATTCAGAATTTATATAAAAATTACTTGAAGATCAAATGTTCTTTTTAATTTTGTATAATTGCTTCAAGACTACATTATCATAAGCCATAATTTGTCCAAATATCCGACTCTAACAGTAATCCACATGAACCACCAGTAAAAAATATATTAAACCCTTTTAGGAGAGAGGGATTGCTATTCATTTGACTGCTAACTCTTTTATTTCGTATTTTGGGTATTTTTGTATTGTATTCTACTTATCTTAAGAAATAAAAGGTATAACTTTCTATTTATAAGGAAGCCTGAAAATCCTATAAATGATAAAATATTATTTTTTCTTTTAAATAATATCACATATATTATTTTAAACATAACTTTCTATTTACTTAATGATTTCTAGGTCTAAAATTACAATCTCTTTTATTAATTACATTGTATTTCTTAATTTCTAAAATTTATTTACGATTAATTCATACTTGAAAAATCATCATATTCTTAGTTTTGATATAGGATGCTATTACGAGCAAGACCATTCTAGGGATAGCTTACTATGACATGATGACTTTTGATTCAATGGGCATCCTTGCACATGAGGAAGAAGAATAAGTTCTTACATCTACTTGTCTGATTAGTTCACTCGACCAAGATTTACTTCATCTGATATGAGATGAATAATTAAGAGATTTTTAAGCTTGTCTAGTATATTTACAACACAAGTATGAAATTCTAGTTGATTTTAAGTTCATTTGGTGTTTTTTAGGGTTATTAGGTTCTTTGCTTTAATTTTTATTCGAGTTTTGTATAACAGGTCTGTTGTTATTGCAGAATTGGTTGACTAGTTCTGGAGTTTCCGGAAACTAGTAGACCATTTGCTAGACTTTATAGGATAATCAGGCTATCGGTTCTGGAATTTCAAGAAATTGGCCAATCATTTTCAATATGGTTCCAAAGTTGTTTTTTCCAGTTGTGATGTTGTGTCTCGTTGATGTTGGTTAAACAGGAGGCCTGCCATCCTCCATTTTCTCGCTGACATGACACTGTTCATGAAGAAGCAGATCACAACGAAATAACAAATTTCTCAAATGACTTCAGTTTTAATTTTCAAATGTATTGCCCTTTGTTTCCTAAGCTTTTGATTAATTGTTTATTGGGTCTGATTTATTATGTTTTGCCATATGTAATTCATCGCAGACACATTTTCTCATTTGATGGACCAGTGGTGACTGCATCAGACTTCAAAAATCATCTTGCAGTTGTCACTCATGTTTCTGACTGTCTATCCTCAAATGATCAGATCTAACTTTCAATCTTTCATGTTTCTGAATTTTTCAGATTGTGCTAAAATCTGCCAATTATTCAAGGTTCAACTGTACTGGCTCTTGACATTTAGCAAGTAGCAATCAGATCAATGAATAAGAACTGAGACGCCCAATTCCCAATATTACTAACCATTTAATGTAGCTAACCATGTTGAAAGTTGTTCACTGAGGAAGACAATTCATTTGGTTAATATCTTGAATATCTCTTTATATTTGATATTTCTGGAAAGTAGAATGCCAAAGATCTAAAGTTCATATTCTGAATGTGCAGATGCTAGAGTTAAGAGTATTCGACATATCTAATGGGACCCAGCCACATAGAGGGCCGTCTTCCCTTAATTCCAGGTTCGCATCTAACATGGTTTGGGTTTAGTGAAGGAGGCTAATTAAGTTCATATGACTCTAAGGTATTTAATCTCTCTCTCTCCTTCTTCTTCTTCTTCTAGTAGAAATAACTTCTGGTGCAGCATCTTCAGTTTCATTAGCACTTCTTCTTGATATTATTACTGAATTTTTTAGCAAATTCTGTGGGGTGTTTTGCGGGTTTTCACAAGCCAATATGCTGGTAGTTGGCTCCCAACCTTCAGGTTCATGATTCTTCTGTTTAAGAATATGGGATAATTCTATAAGTTATCACTTTCCTCTTAGTGTTTTATACTCTTAGTTGTATAATGAAGTTTTAATCTGCAGTGCTAGTAAAGAGAAGAAGTCTGATGAAAGCTACTGGGTGGTTGGACTCAATACCAGCATGCTGTTCTGTATTGTTTCCAAGAGGCCTGACATGTTCCCCAGGTAAGCTTGTCGCCTCGTCTCGACTTCTTCTTCATCTCTTTCCAATAATATCATGAATGATTTTCCCCTCCTGTGCAGGTGATGCCCAAACCATTCCTCTCTCTATTGAATCTTTCATTCCCTGTAGCATCCTCTGATCTAGGGGCAGATGCCCTGGAAAACGAGAACGGCATGCACCTCACACAGGTTAGCTCTTCTCCCCTAAAAATGCCCCCTTTATACTCTTTAAAGTGTCAAGCTTGGTTTTTGTTTTTAGAAAAATCTTAGCTCGGTGCTACTTTCAGACTAGTATCGAGTGGCAGTTTATAAAAGAAAATTAAGAAAAAGTGATTTCGCCTGTCTTTCTTGGCACGATAAAAGAATTATATCTCATTCTAAATGTAAAAATATTAAAATAATAAATAATTTGATAAAACTAAAATCAACTTACAAAAAGATTAATTATATAAATTATAAATTATATTTATAATTTAACAAAGAATTAAAAAGATATTTGAGATTTAAGATTAACATAAAAATTAAATAATGATAAAAATAATTGTTAATGTTGAAGAATCACAAATAGTATTAGAAATAAATATAATATAAACTTCTTTTATTACAAAACTACATATAAAAAAGGTTCCAATCAAATGATTTATTTTTAATTATTTATTATAAATTTTTCATATGATTATATTAATTATATTATTTTAGTAATACTCTACTTTTAAATATTATTAAAAATTTATGATACTAACTTATATTAACAACAAATCAAGTTTTTTTTCATAATAATGATGTTGGCCAAAAACCGTAAAGGATCAAGTATTTATTGTATCAAGTGTTATATAATACAAATCTAAATTAATTATTTATCAAGTAAGGTATTAAGAATTAGTAAGATAAAAATATGACATATTAATAACAAACTTTCTTAGATATAAATATTAAAGTTTATGTTGAGTTTATATTATATATATTTTAATATTATTAGTGAGATATTTTCCCCGTGATAAATTCAACCTAACTAAATATTATAAAGAAGAGAAATATAAATAAATAAGATAAGAATATTGTTATGATATAAGTTAATTAAATATAAAAAAGAAAATAAAAAGTATAGATAAGAGATTAATATAATAAAAAAATTATTCCAAAGAGAAAAAATAAAAAAAATAATCTTGATTTAAAAATCAAGATGTATAAATATAATTTTAAAAAAATTATTTATTTAATAATCAATTATTAAAATAGTAGTCAATTATTAGTTTAATAAACTTGATGATTTAAGTATGAATTTTATTTCTGGACAAAATGGCCCTGCTATAACCCAAATTTGTATACTGAAAATCAATGGATTTAGTGGCTTAAAACCCAACCTTTGAGAATGAATTGTTGTGCCGTGGGAAATTAAAAATTTTAATTAATTATTATTCAGGGATTCTAGGTGAAATGAAGAACTATTTAGATGCTTAGAGAAAGAAAATTCTCTCGAAATTTTAACATAAGTCATGATTATATGATTTGTGTAGTGTGATCTCTCTCTCTCTCTCTCTCTCTCTATATATATATATATATATATATATGTAGAGAGAGAGAGAGAGAATGTAACCTGATTTTCATTAGAATTTAGAGAATGGTTAAATTTCATATTGTTACAGTAAAGCATAACTTTCAATTGACTCTTCTACCTCAATATTTGGGAATTATATAATAGTACGATATGCAAAATTTTAATAATAATGTACTCATTAATATTGAATGAAAATAAAAAAATATAAATTTATTATAATTCCTTTCATGTCTTATTAAATTAAGAATCCCTATAAAACAAATATATGTTTTTTTTGAAAAAATTATATTAATAAGAAAAGAAATTATACTAGATTTTTTTTCAATGGAGTTTAAATTATTTCTTCTCTAAATTATTGTATAATTAAATAAATAAATAAAAAAACTTTCCATAACATGAGATCAAATACATTAATATTATCTTCATTTTAACTTCCCAACTCAATATTTAATTTGAATCAATAGATTTACTGTTATTTATTATGACATATATAATTCTTGATTTATTTTATCAAGTATATGTTTTAAATTTTTAATTTACAACTAATTTTTTATGGCGAGAAAAATATTAACAATGTTTATAATTTTTTTGTGTTGCAAAAAATTACTCCATTCCAAAAAGAAAACCTAAGCATTATGACTAATATAGCATTATGAATCTATTTTGGAACATGTTTGAAATAGTTTTTTTTTTAATTTTAAATTTATATTTTATTTTTTTTGAATTGTTTGAATATATTGATATAAAAATAATTTTAAAAAATAAAAAACATTATTTTAATATACTTTTAAATAAAACAAACTTTAAAAAACAACTATCATCCACCAATACTAAATAACCTCTCTATCCAATTAGCATAATAGAGTGTATCTTGAAGGACTACTTAATAATATATAAAGACCATAGGGACTAATTTATTAGCATCAATAATTTATAATTTAACTCAGGCAAGACTACCACCATTACAATACAACACAAGTCAGCACCATCGGGAAATTGCCTCTTTCGAATGAACAGGAAGAAAATAGTTTTGTTTCACTTTCCAATCAATTAAGTAAATGGCAAGTATCTCCTTCCGCCACCGCGACGCCGACACCAACACCAACACCAACACCAACGCCGACGGCCAAACCTCAACCGTAGACCCTTATTTTCCAATCTTATTTTCCTCTCTCCACGACGACCCCTTCCTTCCTCTACCTGAGCTTACCACCCATTTCAACATCCACTCTCTGGCACACCAAGAAGACGACACCGTTTCAGATCCTGAATCCGTTATCCTCAACGGTCCCGATCTCTTAGACCGCGAGAACCAGGTCAGTTTCGTTATGGATTTGTTTCAGCAACGTGTCGAGCAGTCCCAACTGCTTTGTGATGATGATGATATTTGTTCCTCGCTTAACGAGTCGGGTTTCGGTGTTATCCAGGAGAATTCTGAATATAATTTAGAGCTTGATTGGGGATTAGGGTTTAGTTTAGATAGTCAATATAATTCTGGATTTCAAAATATAGACGCTAATTCTAATAGTAATAACAATGATGTTGTTTATAATGTTAGTAATATTATTGTTGATGTTGATGATTTCTTTATTGAGAGGAGTGTTTCTGGAATTGAATCATGTCAGGCTGAGTCTACTGTGAGTATTCATGCTAATGCAATCCGGGTTGTTGGATTCGGTTCTGATTCGGATTCTGAGGATAATCAAAATTCTTTAACTATTGATTTTAATTCTGGGGATGATTATGGTTTGGATGTGAGTATAGAGAATGAAAGTTTTGGTGATGGTGTTGACTATGATGACGCTAGGGTTACAATTCCGCTTTGTTGGGACTCACTTCAATTGGAGGATCATAGGGAAAACAATGAGGATTTTGAGTGGGAGGAAGTGGATGGTCGTCTTGATGAGAGGGAGGTTCTAAGTATGTTTATTGATGAAGATGAGGCATCTGTTTCACTTTCCATTTCACCTCTGATTGCTCCTGAGGATTTGGTCAGTGTAGAGAGAGTAGGAGGATTGGATCATTTGGAGTGGCAGGTTTTATTGAATGCTAACAACTTGGACCACGACCATAATTCTGAGCCTTATTCTGGCAGTCATGATGATTATATTTATACAGCAGAGAGTGAGATGTTATTTGGGCAATTTACAGAGAATGAGAACGCGATGATGGGTCAGCCTCCTGCAACAAAGTCTGTTGTTGAGAAACTTCCATCAGTGGTTTTCACAAAAGAGGATGTGGAGAGTAATAATGCACTTTGCGCAGTTTGCAAGGATGATATAAATGTGGGGGAGAGAGTGAAGCAGTTGCCTTGCTTGCACCGGTATCATGGTGAATGCATTGTGCCATGGCTGGGGATTAGGAATACTTGTCCTGTTTGTCGGTATGAGTTGCCAACAGATGATGCAGATTATGAACAGAGAAAGATGGCTGAAACTTCTGCTGACCATCATCTTTGATGTGTACTTTGTATGCTTTTGGATGATTTTGAATTTTCTTATACTCTGTAGGGTTTTGAAGAATGTAGATATTGTTGCTGCTATGAGTTGTTTCTTTCTGTGAGGATAATGGTATTACTAATGGATTTTTGCTGAGTGCATTAGGTTGTTTTTATTATTGCATTGTAATGTTTGAAATTTCCTTTTTTTCTTTATGTAAATGCTGTTCAATGATTTTGCTTTGTTCTTTCATATTTTCCTCTCTTCGATGGTTTTTTTATTTCTTTTTTCTTTTGAGATTGATTGTTCAGTTTCAAGGCTTTCCAAGGCTAGCTTTTTAGTCAGGGTTTAGTTGGACCTATAGATTGGATATAGAACTCTCTGTTATTGCTATGCTACTTGGTTTCTTACTGTAGGCTCACATACTGGAATCATGGTTTAGCGATTGTTACTCATTTGAGGTTTCTGCTATTGTCCCTGTGATCCAGAAGACCAATTTGTTTGTTACACACATACAAGAGGACCACTATCTAGTTCACTGTTAGGTCAAATAATAAATTAACATTTATGGTTGCTAAATTCTTATTATTCTAGTATGAAGATGACAAGGCAAAGCAGCTGACCTAGAGGATTACAATAGTTTGAAATCTTTTTTTTTTTTTTTTTTTTGAGTTCGTATGAGAAAAATGAAGCATATGGCACTTTTAGTTCACAGACCTCTTTCACCTGTTTGCTCCATTTCTGGAGCAAAGAGAAGGGGATGGGGGTTGAAGTTTTGAATTATTTAGTGTCCAAGCCATTTATTCTTGATCATGTGACATTTTACTTGTAGTCAGTATTGTGAAGATCATCAAGTGATTGGATAGTACATCAGAGTACCACCAATTGTCAAGGGATGCAGTAGGAAAGAAAAAGGGATTGAAATCTTTTATAATGTCTAACATTGATCAATGGATAAACTAATACAGCAGGGTGGGATGAATGTGAACACTCTCATATTTTGCCCATTTAGCAGCTGGGAAAACAACAACGAGGTTAGAACATTTTTCCTTTCCAGAATTATTTCTGGTAATTTGTGAATACATATGCAGGTAATTTGTGAATACATATGCTTATCTCTGCACATGCTCTACTGCTAGTTTGCAAACACTGAATTCTCACAATATGCTGGCATTTAACGCATACACAAACTCAGTGGTCTACGCAATTTGTAGGGGAAGAAGTGAAAGTTGTGGCTTTTGGTATTGCTTTGAGTGCTGCAATTACTAGTCTTAATTTTCAGAGCATCTACAGTGATTTTGGTGTGTAGGTTCATGATTCATCCCATAAACTTCATGAAGTTTGTATGATGATATGATTAGGTCTTAACAATGTGCTTGCTAACTTTAATTTTATTAAATAGTAATATTAGCTAGTGTTAGGTTAGTGTCTCTGGATAAAAGAGATGGAGAAAAATCTGTTTGGTTGAAGAGAAGCAGATGAAAAAATAAATGTCCCTGAAACTCTTGGAAATTTTAGAGTGAATTTCTGTACTTCAAAACATGAGCTACAAAGGGGAGACAATATTTATTATTTTTTATCCCTAAAACATCCATGTAATGAAAGAAAACCCTTGGTAGGGTTTGTTCAAGTTTCGGCCATGGGATGAAAAAGAAGAGAGAATAGAAAAAACCTGGGATTTTGTATGTTAATTTTCTTAGCCGTGTTATTGATTTGTGTTTTGAATTGGAATTGAAAACTAAATGAGGACTTGGATGTGTTTAGCATTAAAGGTATGCTTTGGACTTCCGGATGATTGATATGGGTTTTAATTATGATGAGGAAATCAATATGTTGTGCTTATAATTTAATGGGAATGTTGAATTTGATAAGTTAATAGATAGTAAAAGAAGAGAAAAGACCTGAAGGGATGATTTCCCTTTGTCGGCCAAAAAACTTTCATTAGGAAAAAGAAGAAAAATGCTGTCGTGCTACTTAAAATTGTGTTGACAATTTTTTTCGAAGAGTGATATAACGTGTATTAAGGTGGTAAAAAAGGTGATGAATTAATGTGTACAAGTGTTATTATAGTAGGGGGATGGACTGGAACCTTAAGATTTAAATGTTCGATTGTGGTGTATGGATGAGAACACACCATGATTTAAATTTAATTTGCTTTGGGATGGTTGAATGAATATGGAAATATGGTTTCTAGACATGAATATGTAATGTCTATGAATGTGTTTGTGAATATTCATGTTTAAGAGTTCATGGAAAATGTGTTAAAATGGAACCAGGATGTGGGTTCCTAGGGTAAATGGATGAACGAAAGAAAAATATGGTTGTCGTTACGCTTAGTGTGGTTATGTGAATGTGTTTTTGGGGTTTATACGTGAATAAAAGCTAAATGTGTGTTTAAAACCAAAACAAAAGGAATTACTATAGATATCATCTAGCATGGAATATAACGATTATGATGTCTATTATGTATGTTAATAAAGTGTCATGTGACCATGACTTTGCATGTTCCTAATGGGTGTATAAATGCAAGATTTATGGACTTAGATTTAGTGGGCATGTACATGTGAATGTGATTACTTTGTTTGTTAAGGTGGAAACTTAGAAGTCTCTGTGGAACGGATTAGTGAAATAGTGAAATGAGCTTATGTGAGTTCGGTCCCTTGTTAATATATGTTGAACAAAATCTTGGTTTTAGTTAATGAAGTGAAAATGTTAAATATAATTAAGATGTTTTTATTGAATTGTATGTACCAATAAAGAACTAGCTGATTTATTTGGAGCTGGTGACATTAACAAAGTTAATGACCATAATATTTAACTTGATTAGCTGAATTGTATGAACTAGCTGATTTATTTGGAGCTGGTGACATTAACAAAGTTAATGACCATAATATTTAACTTGATTAGCTGAATTGTATGGAGCTAATAATAATAATATCAATAAAATTGATGATCGAGATGTTTAATTCGACTAGCTAATCATAATAGCTAATAGATACCATATGATTGATGGTGAGCAATGCCAAATTGACTAACTATTATATATAAAATTAGTGGTGCTTAGGTTAGTGTCTATCAAATGTTTAATTCGACTATAAGGAAAGATAGTAATACCGCCATCATGGTTCACATAATTATATTTTCAGGAAATTTACAAAAAAACCTTGAAATTAAAGGATGAGTTAAGAAAACGCCATCACGGTTGATATATTTATATTTTCAGCGAGTTTTCAAAAAAGCCTTGAAATTAAAGGACGAGTTAAGAAAAGATCAATCAATGATCATGATTAAGTTGATGGGATGAATAAAATCAAATTGAGTATAAGGTCTTGTTTGTTTTATAGAAACTAGTTTATAGGAAATTATTTTCTAAATTTTTTTATGTTTTTTTTTTATGTTTGTTTATTATTATAAAAATTGACTAATAAAAAATACTTTTTAAGTTAAAAAACTTTTTTGTTTAGTTTTCAAAAAAGTATTTTTTTTTATTTTAGATGAAAAATACTTTTTAGAAATTATAAAAAAATTAAAAATTGCTTATTATTTATGTATTATATTAAATTTGATCTTTTTTGTTTTGAATCTATTTTTCTTTCAATATTATTCTTTTGAATTTGATTTAATTTGATTTTTATATTAACTTTGATATTTATTTTTTATTATTATTTTTCTCTTCTTCTTTTCTTAATTAATTTTTTTATTTATCAGATTTGGTCCTTATTTTTTTTATTATTTATTTATTATTGAAATAATTTATGAAATTATAATTTTTATTTTAATATCATCATATTTTAACTTTTTTATTATTTTAATTATTATTTATTTTATTTAAAATAATTTATAAAATTAGATTATTTTTTTCAATTTTATCTTTTTTTCAACTTTTTTATCTTTAAGAACTAATCCTCACTCTTTTAAAAATTATTTTCCAGTTTATTTTTTATGAAATAACCAAACACTAAAAAATATTTTTTAATTCATTTTTATAACTACTAATATCATGAAATAATTTGCTTTGCACAATTCTATTTTTCATGGAAATCACTTTTAAAAAGAAATTATTTTTCATCAAACAAAAAAGGTTAAAAATAATAAATTTATTTTTAATTCTAGAAAAAAAAAATATGAACAGAGCTTTAAATAAGAGGTTCTAAAAGATAACATTGGTATCATGTTATAAATTTTTATTTTTTTAATGAAATATAATGCATTATAAGTGTTAAATTGTTTGTTTGAGGTATTGCACAAATGATTCTGAAGAAATATGTGGTGCAAGAATATTCTATCTTAGATTTTAGACATAAATAGTAAATATTATATAATCTATGATTATGAATTGTAAAGAAATAGATTTATAAATTTATGAATTATATAAATAATTGTTGAAGTATAGAAAAACTTAACCAGTTTTCGAGAGAATATTAATAATATGATAAGGAGTGAAATATGGTATTGAAGCTAATTATGATGTTATATATAAAACAATTGCTGGATTTTTAATAACCTTTTATTTGATTTTATTTTAAGATGATTATAAAAGTGAGGGTGTTAGATTTTTTGTTCAAAAAACTTTTTTTTTAATATTCATCTAAATTCAATCTTTTAGTTCAAACTTTATTAATTTACATTTTTTATTAGCTTTGAATACATATTTTTTTTAATTATTATTTGTTATCATTTCTTTGCGTGTAAGTTCTTCTCCTTCTGCGGTTTTTAATTACTAACATGACTAGTTATCATTTATCATCTTGTTCCTCTTTTATGACATGTAAAAATATTAAATGATGAAGGGTTGAGAGCCACACAAAAAATGTCATTCCATCTTCTTAACTAGATTAAGCACATCAAGACGCACATGCACATATAGCTCAAAAACCATTTCCTTTTATATACAAAATAATACACATTTTTAAAGATCCAAAGTATCAAAACCTTGTTCATAGCTTTTTTTCCTTTATCGATAAGCATCAAATTCTAAATAGAGATGTTAATAAATATTGTCAATCATAGCTTCTTTTTTTTTTTTTTTGGTTACTTCCAACGTCATATTTTTTTCAAATGAAAAGAATATAAACTATCTTAAATAATTACTGTTATTTTATTTAGTTTATTCATGTAGACATGTTCTCTCATATACTTTTTTAAGAAATTTTCACTCATATGTCCTTGTATATTTATATTTTCTCTCGTATGTTTGTTTGTAATTTTTTGGAAAAAAATGTCTCTCAGAGCATCC